CTAGAATTCTGTATCCAGCAAAATTATCCTTCAAAAGTAAAAGAGAAATAAAGACTTTCTCAGACAAACAAAAATTAAGAGAATTTCTTGCAAGAAATGTTAAAAGTCCTTTTGAGAGAAGGAAAATGCTATAGATCAGAAATGCAGATCTATGTAAAGAAAGGAAGAGTATTAAAGAAGGAATAGATTAAGTCAAAATCTTTTATTTTTCTTATTCTTAGTTGATCTAACGGACAATGGTTTGTTCACAATAATAACAGCAGCAATGTATTTGGTGACTGGAGCGTATGGATAAGTGAAGTGAATAATGGCAATGCTATCAGGGATAGGAGGGAGGAATTGGGAATACTCTGTTTAAGGTACGTGTGCTACACATGAAGTGATACAGTATTATTTGAAAGTAGACTTGGATTCATTGTAAATGTATACTGCAANCATGAAGTGATACAGTATTATTTGAAAGTAGACTTGGATTCATTGTAAATGTATACTGCAAACTCTGAGGCAAACACAAAAAAAAATTTTTTAAATAAGTATAATTGATATCCTAAATGAAGAAAGAAAATGGAATCATATACAATGATTAATTAAGTACCAGCCAGTTGCCCTCTCCAAAAAATAATAATAAAATGTTCAGTTAAAATCAGAGAAGGCAGAAAAAGTGGAAGACAAAAAAGAAACAAGGATAATGAATAGTAAACAGTTACAAATATGGTAGATGTTAATCCATTTCTATAAATATTCTCTTCAAATGTGAATGGTCTACAAGGATTTGGATCCCCTTACCAGCCAGCCACCAAATGGTCTTAAAAGAAACCTATTTATTAAGCTATAAAGTCATTTCAGGACTCACTGATATATGCATGGAAAGCTAAGAAATATTTTCAACCAGCCACCAAAAGAAAATTTTTTTTAAGTAACATTTGGATACTACTTCAAAGACCTTCTTGTGCCTCATCATAAATCACTAAGAGAGGAATAACAGAAACAGGGTTTGGACTGACCTGCTAGCTCAGTTGGTTAGAGCACAGCCTTATAAACCCAAGGTCATGGGTTCAGATCCCTGTACCAACCCGTACCCCCACTCCTCCCCCAAAAACAGAAACAGGGTTGGTAGATATTTAAACTTAAATCTACTCTTTGCCTCATCCAGTTGACTTCCAACAGTGCTCCAGAATATAATTTTCTCTTTTTTATCTTGCTGAGAAGGGCAGTAACCAGCAGAGTACCCTGAATTTTCAATGACTATGTCAACAAAATTATTTCCTTCCAAATATCATCCAGTGCCATTGTAGCCTACAATTTCTACTAGCTTTAACCAAAGCTGAATTAAAATTTGAAGTTTCTAATTTTTAATTTTTTCATTAGCAGATACTAATGAAAATTTCATGCAGTAAGGTTGGTTTACTAAACTATAATAAACTCTGACTTCCAAAGTTCAAGATGCACAAGTACGGAAATCCCAGGAACCTCTGCAATCCCAACTCCAAAACTCCCATCTAATTATCCAATTTTCCTAAGGAACAACTTGCCTTTAATTGCTTCTTCCACATTCCTGCTGGATGACTCTGATCACATCTCCCAGTGGCATGTGTATATTATTAGAAAGTGTATAATACAAGTGTCATAAACAATTCCAAAGCACTTTATAAGAACATGACGGTACATTAGAAAGACTGTATTTGATAACTTACAACATATATTGTAGTGCTGTTTAGTTTTAAATTAGAGAATAAGAAATATGTACATGTAATTAGTACAAAATTCTAAGACCCCAAAGTAAGAAGTTAAGTCTCCCTCCCACCCCAGTCCACAAGCCATTTGGTACACTCCCAGAAGGCAACCATTATTACCAATTTATCCTTCCAGACACATTCTATGTACACTGCAAGCAAATATGTATTTTATATACATACATATGTAGTGCAGTGGATTGAATTATGTCCTCCCAAAACTCACTGAAGCTTGAATTGTGTCCCGCAAGTTTTACGTATTAGAAACTTAGCCCCCACTGTGACTGTTAAGAGGGTGGGAAATCCTATCATGGTGATTGAAAAGTGGGGCCTTGAAGAGGTGATTAGATTGTAGCACCATGCAGTAGTAAATGGATTAATAATGGCTGTCAGGGGTGTGGTTCTGAGGGCTTTAAAAGGAGAGTGAATGAGGAGGTTACTCTCTGCTCTGACATTTCGCAATGTGTTACCATGTATCACTGTTGCCACCACCAACACCCTCACCAGGTGTGTTCCCTGGACTTTGGACTTCCTAGCCTCCAAAACTGTAAGCAATAAATTTCATTTTC